TGCGTGATTTCTAGAGTGGCTAGTCGGCCGCTAATATGTGCGAGCATTTTGCTGTGTTCGAGTTGTGTGTTCTTTAGTTCGTTCAGCTCGGTACGGATGCTACATTGCTTTTGTTCCAGCTTGCTTAGGGCTGCCAGAATTTCTGTTGTGGGACCGGGATTTTGCTCACCATCACCGGAAATGGTCAATAACAGGTGACACAGCGTATCGTAAGCAAACGCAACAGTACTAATACACAGGGGAATACTATGGTACAAATCAGGGTCGTAGGGGCACGACACCGCGACAAGAAAACGGTTGTCGCATCGATACTCGGTTGCATGGCGGAGGTAACTAACCTGAAAGATTAGGCCGGGGGGGGGGGGGAACATTGTCGCTTGCGTTGTCGTGCCCCAAATGGCTGTCCAATGGATGCGCCTTATATAGCCTTGTGTCAAAGTGCAGAGTCGATGACGTCGATGCGCCCAGGGTTTGCCAGGCCAGGAGTGGAATCCAGGCTGGTTCCGGATTACTTGAGGGTGTCGGAGAGTCCGCAGGCCATTCAGCGATGCAGTCGCCTGCCTTGCGAACATACAGGGTTGTGGGCTTAGTGGGTAGGTGCAGCAAAGGGCACAGACCGGGCGATAAGCAGCACAGGGCAATCTGAAAGAATAGGCGTGGGGTGAACATTGTGTCCCTTGCGTTGTCGTGCCCCTTAAGGAAGGGGTGCAGAGTCTCTTGAATCTGATTACCGTAGCACACTGGACCTTCGTTTCATTTTGGTTTTATGAGCATCTCTGTCAACCATTGTGAAAGGGACGTCGCTGCTTTGCATAAAGTTGCCTTTACAAGGTGTTATTCAAAATAATTCAGTTCTTTAAAGAGACACAAAGTTTTCTCGCACTTGTAAACGGCTATTTTCTGATACCAAGGTCGCTTGCAGCAAGAAGACAGTTGGTAACAAACAAAATAGTGTCTGGTTTTTTATAAGTGGTTGATTTTTATTACAAATGTTTTAATTAAGCAGCCCTTCAATGCTTTTTTTTTTTTTTGTCACGAAACACCACCCTAGTTTTATACACGGACAAAAGCCGCCTCAAGGGTTCCTGCGGTCAACAAGGAGGCATCCTTCGCGCACGCTTGTTTGAGCTGAGTTCTGTGCCAGTTAAAAGCAATGGTGTATTTAACAGCACACCACGATAATTCAACTGCCACTCGTACTTTACTGAATTCAACTGCCACTCGTACTTTACTGAGCATTCATCGGTGCGGTCTTATACTTGTGAAAAGCTTACTTTCACATGGTTTTTAAATTATCAAGGCTGCAATGGATTATGTTGGATGCAAAAGTATTTGCTGAAATGTTCTTCCAGCATGGTTCCTTAGGGCAGGCAGTGGAGCATAAAAATATTATTCTGGTATTTACTCAGACACTGCACAAGGCTTACCGTATACACGCGTGTAGGGGCCGCACCCGTGTAAGGGCCGCATCCCGTTTTTAAGAAGCACATATTCAAAAAAAAAAAAAAAAAAGTTGTGTGTAAGGGCCGCATCCGCACTTTCCTTGACCCATGCGTATTCAAAATGCGCGCGTGTGTGTGAGCTACTAGGCGTTGTCAGTAGATGGCGTTAGAGAACGCAATTCTCATAATCACCATATAGTACATTATTAGAATAATTTGTTGGTTTTCTTCATGCTAATATGTTCATGAAGTCAGCTAAAAATTTTAAGTTTTTTCAGTAGTGTTCATACACCCGCCAACTAAAGGTTAAAGCGGGATTTTATCTTTAACTTCTGACACTTCTATACGAACACGCTATCCATATCGGCATTAGCATCACCAACTTTGGTATTTGTGCGTTGTTCGGTCATTGTGCTGTTCAGCTTGCCATGTGCTCAAGTTTTGCGCACCGTTGAATGACTCTGGGACTCCAGCTAGTTTTCTGCGGAACGTTTACGTTTTCGCACGATGGGCAAGCAGCTGAATAGCTATACAGTTGGCTATAAGTTGAAGGTGATCGAGTTTGCCCTCGAGCACGGGAAACGGGCCGCCGGCAGAAAATTCGACGTTGACGAGAAGTGTGTTCGACGTTGGTGCGCCCAGAAGAAAGCCTTGCAGAACACCAATATCAAAAAGCACGCTTTCCGAGGAAAACAGTGCAAGTATCCTGATTTGGAAGAGGAGTTGCTCCGCTATGTGACTGAGGTGCGGAACGATGGTTTTGCGCTCACTACAGACATGCTGCGCTTGAAGGCACTAGCCTTGGCACGTGCGAAAAATATACCCGCCAGGGATTTCAAGGCTAGTGCTGGCTGGGTGCGAAGGTTTATGAAAAGAAAGGGACTCTCTTTTCGGCGAAGGACCACGCTGTGCCAGCGGCTGCCAGAAGACTATACCGACAAGGTGCTTAGTTTTCACAAGCATGTCATCGGCCTGCGCCATCAGCACAGTTATTTGTTGTCGCAAATAGCGAACGCTGATCAAACTCCTGTGTGGTTTGACTCTCCCGAGAACTACACAGTCGAAGTAAAAGGCAAGAAGAGTGTCGCCGTGCGGACTACCGGCGCTGAGCGCCAACGCTGCACCGTGATGCTTTGTGTGACCGCGGACAGGCGGAAGCTACCCCCGTACGTTGTTTTGAAAAGGAAAAGAATTCACAACAAAGTTTTCCCCAAGGGCATCATAGTTAGAGCCCAAGAGAAGGGATGGATGAACGATGATTTGGTGCTAGACTGGGTGAAAAGTGTTTGGCAGAACAGACCGAGAGCTTTGTTGGCCAAACATTCACTTTTAGTATTGGATAGTTTCCGCAGCCACCTTACCGATAAGGTGAAGGAGCAGCTGCGCCCTGTCGGCACAGACATGGCCGTGATTCCAGGCGGCCTCACAGGAATGTTGCAACCATTGGATGTGAGCGTGAATCGACCATTCAAAGTTGAATTCCGAAGACTCTACACGGAATGGATGGCAACCGGCAACCATGAGCACACGCCGACCGGACGGCTGAAGAGGGCACCGCTTGCTACTGTTCTCGGTTGGGTATTGTCGGCGTGGAGCTCGGTGTTGACGGACATTGTGTCCCGAAGTTTTAAGGCCACTGGGATATCCAACAGCCTGGATGGCACCGAAGATGACTGTTTGTGGAATGATGGTGCTCCGCAACACACTATCTCGGACTCCGAGTTGGAGGACTCATCGAGTGACGACGATTAAGCGCACACGCGGCATACTGCAATAAACGCTCTTCGTTCACTAACTGGTACGTTGTTTTTAGTTCACCAAAAAAAAAGTTCCGTGTATGGGCCGCAACCTGAAAATTAGCCCTCACTTCCTGAAAAAAAAAGTGCGGCCCTTACACGCGTTTGTACGGTATAATAAAGTCTCGTAGCGACCAGTGCTGATCACGCTGTTTACAATCAGACCACCTGTGCCACAGTACATTGCCACATTGCAAAAAAGAAAAGCTCCGCAACCCTGTGTTTAGTTTATAAATAAATGCTTACTTCACTCTGCTATTACCTAACGCACATATATTTGGCAACACTTGAAATTGGGAATGACAAAGCTTTCCTCTAGGTAACGATCGTGTGCAACGTCAATACACGCCGATTTCTGGGGTCCATTACCTAACCTGAAGTACAAGCCACGTTCTGTTCATTTCCAACATGCAACTTTCACAACATGTTACAAATATACCCTTGAGTCACGAATTATGATGCACTGTTAGAAATGCGTGAAATTCGCATGGCGGTGCATTTCAAGAAAGAAAATTAAGGAAAGTGTTGTGTTGTGTGAGCTTTAGCTATTAAACTTAATGAGTGTGTAATTAATTATCTAATTATTATACCACCAGCCAGCTTCAGTACTTGCACGAAAAAAAAGCAACCACTATTAGGCCCGAAATGTGTGCACAGCTTCTTTTTTTGTTGTTGTATTCGTTTCGAGCAAAAAAAACAAACTTTTCACGATCCTGAAACACTGCACATCGATCGATCGTCAAGCACAGTGGGGTCTCCAGCAAAGTAATCCTCCACAGCAATATGCAGCACAATGAGTGCGCTCAGAAAGCCTGCAGAAATTTGCACACCGAGTTTCAGGCCACTTGAAGAAACACGCAGCGTGTGATGCACTTTCGAATTTTGCCTGCGCGATTGTGTATGCAGTGACTGAAGGGGATATTGCACAAGCAAAAGTATGCCGCACACTATAGGTATTGTACAGTGTCGCAAGGGCACTCGGGTATGGTGACACCTTCACGAATAACTACGAGCGTTACTTTGACTGCTTAGATGGACTACATTTGCACCACGTGATGAAACGAATTTGTTGACTAAGTCTGCTCAAAGGGCAGACCTATATAAATGAAATGAAGCCATGTGTCTTTAACCTAGAGAAAATAAGCACATGGGTGCCAAGCGGAGCTTTGTTGCACTTTCAATTTATTCAGAACGCGAAAAACGAACATAGGTGAAGATAAATTCTGAAAACATGTAAAGCTCAGGAAGCGCTAACGCCAATTGAGTTCATACTTCTTTCTTTATAATATCGTATTGCAGTGCATGTGTTTACAACATCACACTGTCAAAACACTTATTTACAGTAAATGCCACCACCACTTAGGCATGTCCTGTCATTCGCCGTGTTCCTGCCCGAAATTCTTATAGCCATCAGTCTCATCAACTCGGAAAAAACGGAACACTCGACGCCAATTCTGCCACATTTCTTGAGCCCTCACTATGCAACGAAGCTCTTCTCAATGCTTTCTGTGCGCAGCCCCTGTGACAACGTAACAAGCTCTCTCCATAGTGTTTAGAAAAAGTTTCATGACCAGAAAACAATTGAAGGACTGTGATATAAAGAATTACACTGCCGATTTTATATCAAGTGTAAACTGTGTAGCACAGGCACCTAAGGCACAAGGATTGTATGTGGCTTGGTTGAAGAGGTAGAGTAGTGGTGCGCACATGCTCTACAGTGCCAGTGGTTTTTTCCTTGGCTCTACATGTTCCGGGTGCCCAGGGTGGTGACTCTGTGCACATCTCCCGTGGACGACCTGTTCCTGTCGGGTTCTTTGGACAAGTCATTACGGCTCTGGGACCTACGCTCACCCAACTGCCAGGTAAGTTTCACAAATGCACAATATTTATTCACAATAGGGCATGCTGGCATGGCTCGTGTCTGCTGCATCTCCATGGACAGACAATCTGTTGCCAGCCATTTTGTTGGCAAAAAAATAACCATCACACGTACATCAAGGAGTTCATGAAGGCGATTTTTATTAATAAGCGGGGACTTAAATCAAAAACAATGACTGGGGGGCACACGTCTTCTTGTAGTGGCCATTTTGTTTTTACAAATGTGGTGTTTATACTTCATAACATGAAAAGTATTATTGAATTCAATAAAACTAAAAAAAGTTACTCTTTTGTTGAAAATAGACAGGTTTGTTTAAATCCATTGTTTGACAGAATCCCATATATTCAGGAGGAGACATTGTAAAAAAAAAAAAACTAATCACAGTCAAAGCATTTCTAAGACAATCAAGATCTTTCAGCCCTGCATTGGAGCCTTGTTCACAATGAGTCGAAGTGTATGACAATCTATAGTGGAACTTCGATTATACATACCCCGCGATTATACATACCCCGGTTTCGCGACGACCCACGTTACACAACGAATTAAGTTTGGTCCGGACAAAATTCTCTTCGTAACGATGTATTGAAAAGCCTCGATTATACGACGCACTTTTACGCCAACCCCGCATCTTGCAATGACTTTCAGATTCTATCCGTAAGAAAAAAAAACACATACGCTCAAATCAAACGTCGATCAAATATTGTCACGAGGTTGTGATACACGCAGCACTTGAGAGGAAGCACGCAGGAGTCAGGGCGGTGTCAGGCGAACTGTTTATTGGGCGAACTTGTGCCCAGCAAAAGAGGGCCAAACACAACTCACAGCAACAGCGGCGTGAACAGTCGTCGGCCGACGGAAAAAAAAAAAAAAAAAAGACCCCCAGTGGCGCACTGCGCCGGCTTTTTATACACGCGTCGTAACGCGTTCCAAAGTGGCATACAAGATAAACGCGGCCTGCGTTGCGCTTAACAGAAAGTGATAGCGTCTTCCTTCGCAAACGAAAAGAACCGCACGTGTCAGTTTTTCATACACGCGTCGTAACGCGTTCCAGAGTGGCATACAAGATAAACGCGGCCTGCGTTGCGCTTAACAGAAAGTGATAGCGTCTTCCTTCGTAAACCAAAAGAACCGCACGTGTCACTACCCCCCTCTGAAAAAGCATCGTCCCGATGCTAAAGACAGAACATAAGAGAGAGTACATGCAATAAATTACATTAACAATGCGTCACAGCTAATCAGCGCGCGTAATAAGGTTTAAGTCGCACCACGTGTACGACTTCGGGTCGTGCACGGCGTACGGTACATGGAAAGAGAAGCACCTCCACCAGATGTCACGAGGTTGTGATACACGCAGCACTTGAGAGGAAGCACGCAGGAGTCAGGGCGGTGTCAGGCGAACTGTTTATTGGGCGAACTTGTGCCCAGCAAAAGAGGGCCAAACACAACTCACAGCAACAGCGGCGTGAACAGTCGTCGGCCGACGGAAAAAAAAAAAAAAAAAGACCCCCAGTGGCGCACTGCGCCGGCTTTTTATACACGCGTCGTAACGCGTTCCAAAGTGGCATACAAGATAAACGCGGCCTGCGTTGCGCTTAACAGAAAGTGATAGCGTCTTCCTTCGCAAACGAAAAGAACCGCACGTGTCAGTTTTTTATACACGCGTCGTAACGCGTTCCAGAGTGGCATACAAGATAAACGCGGCCTGCGTTGCGCTTAACAGAAAGTGATAGCGTCTTCTTTCGTAAACCAAAAGAACCGCACCTGTCAATATTCACAAATGCAAAATATGAATTTGTGGTCTCCTAGGTTGACGATTACACCCGCATTCACAAACCTAACCAAATCTTATCCTTATGACTTGAATCAACATTAGCATAAGTCCGCCTTAATGCATTTCAAAAACCTGCATTGTACTTATCGCAGAATTTTCCTCGTACTTAAGTAAGGCCCGGTTAAGTAGTCTATCCACTATCTTAAGGCTTCCCTAAACAGCATGGCAGGGGACGACAACTTTGCGTATTCCATTTATTCCTGCAAAGATATGTTGAATGGCACAATGTACGCTTACACGTCAGCGCCACGGTAAGTCCTTAACGATCGACGAAACCTGGTTGAGACGTTCGACAAGCAGAAATTTTTTGCCGCCCCCGCTTCACAAAATGTGTCGTGAAGAATCTGCTCGCTGTGTTGTCGTGGGTTTGTTGTGCACCATTTCATGCAGCTGCTCATTTCATTGCGCTTCTATGAAGTTGGCATGTTTCAACTTGTTGGCAAGGGCCTTGTTGTCTCGTAGCCGGCCATAGTGGATACCTGCTATGGTTGCCAAAACACTTTTTTCCGTACCAGTAAAACTTCTAGAAGTGACGCACTCACTTTTCTAGTTGTTTGGTCGGCCGTTCATGGATGTAGTGTGTCGATTGTTGAATTCTATCGCGAGCTGCTTCCACCTTTTTCGTTTTCTCTGAAGGCACACGGCGTCTGTTTTGGCACTTGTTCACAATACCCGTCAGTACGTAACCACTTTGTCGGTGAAGTTCACTTCGGTGCACCGTTCCGCAATAAATGCAACTTCTTAAAAGAAATGCTGTAAAACTGCTAGTGAAATTAACAAAAAAAGTGAAGGAAAACGGCAAATGCTGAAGGGACCACAATAACACCATTGATCACAACAAAAAACATAAATACGTCAAAATAACAAAAAGACCTGCGTTCACAGGAGTTGCAGTAAAGTGGCCAAACAAAAAACGTGCACCTCACCAAAAGCTGCCGATGCATAAACAAACATTGCTACTGTTTACGTTTGGCTGCTTCTGTGCATACTGTTGTTGGTTTCTTGAAATGAAGCTAATTTATTTCTGCTCAAGGTAATGATATTGTAGCAAAAATTTACCTACCTTTGCGTCCAGGGCCTATACTTGACGAGTTAAGTGACGCCTTTCATAAGGGAGCTTTCAGAAACACACCTTGTACTTATCCTTTTCTCGTCCTTTTGTAAGTAGGTTTACCGACATAAGTTAAGGTCGGTTCATGAATACAGCGGTTAGAAAAGTAAAAGTGAGACTGGATGTCTTCTTAGAATGAAAAATTTAGGTGGTGGTGGTGGTGTTGCAGCAGGCGGGGTTAGCCTGGCCTGCATGGCCGGCAATTGTTCCGCCTGAGCATCTCCTGAATTTGGAAAATGTCACCACGTGTCAGACAGCCCAGTGTCTCGCAGGAAGACCAACAAAATTCGTTGCATGTTCCTCCTAGTTGCCCCAGGTCCTTCAGGAAAAATGACGTCATCAACTGTCCGGTGCCTATGACAGCCTTTTTGCAAGGTGCGGATCATCGCTGCTCTTTGCGCATCAAACTCCGGGCAAAGCCAAATGAAATGTTGAATATCCCCGATGTCACCTTGAAGGCACAGAACGGGGAAGCGTATCTCCCAGTCTTGAATGACCAGGCCGGGGTGTATGCGGAGCCGGTTCTTATGCGGTACAACAGTGTCGCTTGTTCACGAGAAAGTCTATGAATTACACATGCTTGGTGTGGAAACTTGTAGATCGCCTTGAAATGATTGCGTATCACATCTTTGTTGTTCTGGTAAGTCTTGGGAGTTCTTACTTTTGGAAACGATGTACGTGCTTCGCATGCAAGGGCATCAGCCTTTTCATTGCCCTCAATGCCAACGTGGGATGGGATCCACTGGAACTTTATATTAAAACTCTTGCCATTTAGGTGTTTGATTAGTGCCAGAGATTGCTTGGTGAACTTTTCTTGAGGTAGGCCACGATGCAGTCTTTGTAGCGCCAATTTGGAGTCCGTCTGCACTACAACATCTCGTGCAGAAAAGGATCGCAGTTTTCACAAAGCCGCCGTAATTACAGCGCTTTCTACCGTTGTGGACGAAACCACGCAATCCAGGCGGCCCGACCGTGACACGCTCAGGCTGGGTATGCAGAAAGTCGCTGCGCAGCTATCCGTCTGTGTGCACACTGATCCGTCGGTGTACACTTGTAGGTGGCCGCGGTACATGGTGCTCAAGTGGTCCAGCGCAAGAAATTTTGCTTCCGCGGCTGGAATGGTGCGCTTCGCTGGTAGATTGGGTACGCTGAAGTTGCACGCAACATCCACAAAAGACCATGGCAGGTCCATAGGGCGCCGTTTAGGCAGTTTCAAGCCTAAATATTGAAATGTGTTTAGTGCCACGTTGAAATGTGAGCCAGTTCTTGCTCTTAGCCGCTGGAAAAGCGCCGTGCCTGCGAAGGACTCGCCTAGTCTTGACAGCTGCGTTAATAAGGCCTGAGACGCCAAAAGGCGGAGCGGAAGAGGCTCGGCTTCATTGGTGACCTTCGTGTTTGAAGCCGCCTGAGGGACTCCCATCACGAAGCGAAGACCCTTTCTGTGCACTGCCTCTAGGCGTTCGAACTGGCTTGGTGATGGTGATATCAGGGGCAGCTGATAAAGAATGTGGCTTGTTATAAGCGCATCATTCAATTTAAGCATGGACATAGGATTGTTGCCCCAACGGACCCCTGCCATGCGACGAAGAGCGTTGATCCTTTGCACTGATGCAGTGACTATACCATCAACCGCACGTCACCATAATAGCTTGTTGTCAATGGTAATGCCCAGAAAACGGACACTTGTTGCACAACGAATTGAGTGGCCTCGAATATTCAGCGACAGACGTGTTGACTTCCGTCGCGCTCCTGGGAAGAGCACGAAGGCCGACTTTTCCGCTGATAAAGATAGGCCAAGTGTCAACAAGTGACGCTCAATGATTGAAATAGCGCTCTGTGCTATCCGGGCCAAACGTTTGTGCTGGTATCCTGAGATCCAAATGCAGATGTTATCGGCGTAAATGGATATTTTAACTGCTTTCAGAGCTGAGTGCAGAGTGTCGGGAAGCCTGGCCATGGCAGCGTTAAAAAGCAAGGGAGATAGAACACTTTCTTGTGGGACGCCGAGGGAAACGCGTCTCTCTTTGCTCGCTCGTTACAT